CCGATGACATTGTCGACTGATAAATATTAGTGGTTTTATATAGTTTTTATTCTGTTTTCTGACTTAATTTTTTTAAATACATTTCATATTTTTTTAGTCTGACTTATTTTGTTAGTCTATTTTTTCATCCGAAACAGATGAAAACTTTTTACTCGACTTCTTCAGGTTTAATAGACGGCAATTTTAAGTAAACGGAAACGCATTTGGCAATAAGGAGCTACTTTTTCGGGCTCATTTAAGAAAAAAATATATGTTCAATTACTTTCCCCATGCGAAGATGTGCTTTCATGAATGATCCAGAGATGTTAGTCCCATGTTGCAAAATGTTATGTTGCTTATGCAGATTTCTATTAAAGTTACCGAGACTTTCAATTATCGAATTGGAAAAAATGAATGAGCCTGTCATGCCCGAGATCAGAGAAAAAGACGGTTCATTATTTGGCTTCCCAACATTAGAAATGTCCCGTAGGAGTGTAGAAATTTGAGACTGTTCTGCGTAAGGATCCAGCCATTTCCAGTTTAAATTTCAATTTTTCGCGTCACCGACGAAAGTAAGAGGAAAGTGCTCCAGCCAGAGGAACAAGGTTATCGATTTTTAAAACATGAAGTTTAATAATAGTGATCATCACGTATTTTATTTTTAAATCGATTCATTCATGGGAAGCGAGGGACTTGATATAGTGTCAAACGTTCAAGGTTGTTTGATAACAGGATTTAAAGTTCTGAGGGGAGATAAAGAGCGAGTAGATTATACGTCAAGTAAAATACATTCAGAGCCGAGACGAAAAGATTACGCCATGAGGATATTAGGGGGTATACCAGGAGATTCGATACGGTGTGCAACCTTTGTAAAATTTGAAAAAAAAAAATCCCAATTTCGATTTAATTTACTATTTAAGTACATACATAAATACGATAATCCCTTCATAGCGCACCCTAGCTCGATACGATCCAGAATTTAAAAAAACTGGGAGCAAAAATAACCTGACATTTCCGGGTTATCCATGACCGAATTGACTCAGTTCCCCGATTTTTCACATCAACAATTGAATAGCGGGCGAAAAATTGAAAATGAACTTTTTCTGGCATTACTTTCACTGTGCAAAATGCAGAAACGTGTTAACCTTCGTGCACCTGCGTTTGTACAACTTTTAAGTATCCTAATAAGGGGGGACCTTAAGGTCCAGATACACGATCAAATTGAGCCATCAAATTGGGCCTCTCATTGGTCGCATCCTCACCTCAGGTCTTTTTCCACCAATCAGAGCTTCAGTTTGATGGCTCAATTTGATCGTGTAACTGAACCTTTATGACTCCCACGGAACTCGGAGACCTTGGACCTCTCAACCGTCGGGTCCAAATAAATAGTGTAACAAGAATTTACAGTGGCCAGTTACGAGTCCGACCCTGGTTCGCTCCCCAAGAGAGAGACGTAAAGCCAGCAAGAGCCTAATTTTAGTCGCCCTGGGTGCTAATTTAGCCCAAATTTGGGCTCCAGAGCCTACGGCAATGCCAGGCCCAGGCGTGACTGGGGAATGTTCCATCGGAGGGAGTGAAGATTCCTGCAAGGCCCCCCTCGGTCTAGGATTAAAAATAGCACTAAAACCGCTCTATTTCACGGTAGGCCAATGTCTGCCACTTCCAGACCCTGACTCCCAGCAAAATAAGTCACAATCCCCTTATAAATGGATGTTTTGTCCGTCTGCAGCGGTGATGAATAGCAGAGGAGCTCTCCGAATTCGAGTGAGGAATTAAGGATTGGTCCTATGGCATGGTGTGATTTGCAATATACACATTGATCTGCCATTTGGACCTATGGAAAAGGATCGATAAACAGGGTGTTCGCAACGAACAATTTAATAATCGATTCTTTACCATACCTTCTAATGGAGAAATATCGATAGTCGATCATTCACGCCTTGCCACTGATCGGTCCGACTCTCACCGAATACAACTATGTTCTTATAGTTGGATGTTTGAATGAACTAAGTAATGACGCTCAGTTGGATACAAACTATTCGAGGTCTCTTTGATCCAGTGGCGTGCCGTGCTTTGCGATATATCGATTGTTGTACCATTTAAACCTATGATAAAGAATCGATTATTAATATGTTCGCTGCGAACACTCTGTTTATCGATACTTTTCCATAGGTTTAAATGGCATAACAATCGATATATCGCAAAGCACGCCACGCCACTGCTTTGATAATCGATTCGAGGGTTATAGAAAGCAAAAAAATGTAAAATCTTCATTTTCTCAAGTATTTGATTGTACCCTCATTATGTACCGCGAGAATATGCGACCATCTACGCGCATTGACCAACGCTACAGGTGGTTGCATGTTGAAACCGACGACAAGGCTAACGATGAAACATTCAACACGGTAGAAATTTAGGTACCGCATACCATGCTTCATCAGCAAACTTTCACGCAGAGGCAGAGCCTGCAATCGTCCTTGAAATTCCACGTTAAATTTCTGAGCTATCTTGCTCCGAATAGAATGGGCTCGCTTTAAATTATGGACAGAATGTTAATCCTCCGTTTGACTCATAGATTGCATTTAAATTTCGCACTCGAATTGCAAGTTTGCATTTGCTTCAAGTCACGTACCCTTCTGCCAGATTGCGGTTCAAGTGAATAAACTGAGAATGTTTAGTTAGTACTTCGCTAAAATCTTCGCTTATTTTTTTTTTTATCATTGTAGATAACTGAGCATTCTTTCAACTCAAAACAACGCGAAGAACAATGGAAGAATGCATGAAGTTGGGTTCCAACCCAACATGCAACTATTTTAACTCTGCGGTGGGCCGGGTTGCATACACTATATTCTGCGGGCGAAATCTGAGATCTGTCCAGTGCCCACGGCCTACGCGCGCTCGCGATGTACGGCTCCGGCGACAGGGTACAGGTGCGAAAGACGTGGGCAGATCTCAGATTTCGCCCGCAAAATCGAGCGTATGCAACCCGGCCCTCCGCGGAGTTAATATAGTTGCATGTTCGGTTCGAACCCAACTTCGTATATTCTTCCATTGTTTTACGCTCCGTGCACTGATCGAATGGCGAGTTTACCCTTAGATACGGCATCTCGATAGGTTTTTATCGCCTGATTTTGTTGGCAAGGTTTATAACTGGCATTAATTCTTTAATTTCTCAGATTTTCCTTGAAAATTTCAAGATTTGATCTATGGTATGTCCCAAAAATCGTCAGCCTGACGGCTTTTGAAGAGTAACAGTCAACAATTCCATAGATGAATTTCTTTGAAACCTCAAGATTGTGCGTGGGCGCTACAAAGTGTTCCGAAATATTGATATTCTTGGTGCGGGAAGTCCCGAAGAGACCTAACCGCAACGCTTCGTATCTTAAAAATCTGAACAAGTCTCGGATTTTTCAGATTCGATAACCCTGCTATTGAAAATTTACTACTTCAGAAATTCCAGCGGATGCCAGATTCAGCTTCAGTAGGCACAAAGATGGATCCCAAATATTTTACGGGGAAAATACTCGAGAGATTCAGAGCCAAGGGAGAACAGAAATGGCGGAGCTATTGGCGTGCATGGTTGCCAGTTGTCGCGGAAAATTCGCCGCTTATCCCAGATGAAACATGAACCAGGACGATTTCAACACCTCGTCCGACAGCCTTGTGAGTAGGGAGTCTCTGACGAGAGGCTGAAATTTGCGTGGTTCACGTCCGTTTCAGGAGAAAGAAAGCGGTAATTTTCCGCCACGGCCGGGCATCGGGCAACGCCGATGGTTGCCGGTCTCCGGCGGAGGAAGGCTCAAGGCAGGACGCAGGAGAGAGAGACGGCACGAAGGCAAGAAGGCGCGTCCATCGGAATTCACTTTATCTTGTCCCGAGGTCGTTGACTCGCTTTACGCCACTTGCCGCTCGAGTATATACCAATTTACTTCGAACCCGTTCTCATCATTCAAAATACGGGTTGAAGAAATACGGCTTGCAAATGTGCAGCCATCAGCCGGGAGTGAGCCTTCATTTCATTCATCTCCCCGCTGAGTACATAAAATCATTCGTTTATACAGAAAGAAAAAAAAAATAGATTAGGGTGCCTTGATGAACCAAACTTACTACTGGTGAAATTAGAGCAAAATGCGATGGAAGGAGACAAAAATTCAAACTAGACCAGGAAAAAAATCGACAGAGAGAAAATCAGCCGCACGATCCGAAAATTGGACGATGCGAGGTTGAGATTGGGTTGAGCCTCGGAGGAGGGCTGGCACACAACACTTACAAGGTCGACGAGTATGCGGCAGGTGAACCGGCGTTTTTCGAAATCGGTTCGCGCCGCGCCGCGCTCGGGCCGGGTCGAAAAAACCCCAAAAACGACCCTCAGGGCAGGAACGATAATCTTTAGAAAACGAAATCCAGAAGGAAAAAAAACGGTAGGAAGGCTGGAAGGGAGAGGGGGGGCAGCCCGGGCAGGGCGGCGGAGTAGCGGCCGGGAGGGGGAGGGGAGAGGGGGCCAAGGGATTTGACCGGAAAAGAGGGGCCCGACTCGGGGTGGAGCGAGAGACGCGGCGCGCGGGGTGAGTCCGTACGCACACCGAACGGAACGAAGCGGCCAGGATCGGGACAGGATTCGAAAAACACAGCCGGGCTCACACCAGATGTCGGCATTCACGCCGAAAACCAACTAATCCAAATTCCTGAGGCAGAGCGACTCTTGAGGAGGAATATCGTCCGAAAAGCACTCATCACTTGCCGGGCCATCGACTGCGAGGACGCAACCGGCAACGCACACCTCGAACACCACGCGAAAACACCGCATTCATCCGAGAGAGGAGTTCGTCGTACGCAGATTAGAATAATATCCGAAAATCAAAAATAAAACCAAAAAAAGGAAGAGGAAATCGCCCCCGATGGAAAATCAACATCCCCGCGTGCCCGAAGAAAGCGGCCCGAAACGGAATATTCCGAAAGAACCAAACCAAAACAAAACAACGTGAAAGTCGCAGCGGTAAGTGTACGCTCGCACAAATTACCTGTAAGCTAGGAACGCACTAAATTTTCCGGAGCGGGTACCGGAGGAAATTTTCAGTGTAAACAAACCGGTGAAAACAAGGAGAGAGAGAAAAGTGAGCGCGAAAAAGCACGGGCGAGGTACTCTCCAAGCGCGGACTAACACATGAATGGCGTGGAGACGCCCGGTTGGGAGGAGGCGAACCGGCATTCGGTATTTCCGAAGCCGCGAGGGGGAGGGGGAGGGAGAGAGGGGCTGGGGTACGCCGCGCGGGAGCGGGAATAGGGGGATCGGGCCGGAGAGAAAACTACTCGTCAAGCCGACCGAGTACAAGGGAAAGAGACGAAAACCGAAGAGAGAGACAGGCCGAGAGAGAGACAGCGATAGGCTGGAGAAGGCACGGTAAATACACGGGAGTTGTCTTTCTGTTGGTCCCCCCGCGCCCCGCCACAGAGTGAGCTGGGAAGAAACACCGCCTCTTCTCGCCGTGGAGCAAAGCGCGGGATCTACACGGTGGCGCTACCTACCGGACGATCGGCTCAACTACGCAGCTACACCGGCGACGGCCGGGGGTTCCCAAACTGTGGCCGTGGCGGCCCACAGTGGTATGAAAGTTGTCCGATCAGTTGTAAGAACCGTGATAGCCGGGATTTGGACGATTTTCCAATGTGTGGGGCAGGATCGACCAATTACGTAGCGTGGTGTCAACGGACAGTTCCTCTATTGACACAAGTTGGTACTCATACGATCATAGCCCAAGGTGACGTCTTGAGTTAACTCGGCAATTGCAGAGTATTCTCAATATGTATAGTGGTGGTGTGGCGCCGAACAGCATAACTCCCAAGACCAAGGGGCAAGTAGTGCCCATGATGAACTATAGACGCTATTAGTGGCGACGTCATCATAGGGATTCTCCATTATATCGAATTGGATCCAAACAATAACATTGGCATAACCTCTTTCAATGCTACAAGTGCGAAAAAATCGATATATATCGCTTTTCTGTGACGTTGCACTAATAGCGTCTATTTCCCTTTGTATTGAGAATACTCTGCGTGACGCAGTCATGGCGTCACCTTAGCTTAGAAACGTATAATCACAGTGTCATCAAACAAATAAAAACCTTACTCCCACAATAAATGGATTCAAGAAATTAATTTAGTCTCAAGGCGGAGTTCAGGTCACGAATTATTAGATTAGAATAGATCAGGTCAGGCTATGTTAGGTTCAGTGAAGATGAGTCAAGTTGGGTAAAGTACAGTTGGGTCATTTCTGTTCATGTAAAGTTGGGATTGATCAGGTTAGACGTCCAATTTGAAAGATATCATACGAGGAGGATACATGGGGAGGTTTTAAGTTTCGTCGCCACTGTAACCGTTGACACCGCACTTAAAATTTTACGGTGGGCAGAATTATTATAATTCTTAGATGATCACGGTAGCAACAGAAGCTAAAAAAATTACGAAAAACAAAGGCGGCGAGACGCGCGAGTCAAGAGACACAAGTTGGTGACCGATGACAAAAAGCTTACGGCCAGTTTTGACTTATTGTTAGTGCTGCCAGAACACGACGTCAACGATCATTGCCACCATGATCAGGTTCCGTATTTGCTCGACACTGTGATCGTTAACACCATGCATCGTAAGCGATCGACCCACTGTGCGAACCGGATTGGGGATGAAACTAGGGGTGCGCTCGGCGCGGATAGACCGAGTCTCGCGGAAAAGAATCTGGAATAATTCGGAGAGTCTTCCTCTTGTACCTGTTCTGTCATTCCTACCTTCTCTTTCCGCGTTGTCTTCCTACGAAAATATGAATTATTAATAACGATATAGAATAGCGCGACGAAAAATATCGTCCGACGCGACCCTTTCACACTTCACTTACACTTTCGTCGTTTGCGCTGATTTGGAACCCGGAAGATCCTCTCCGTCACGGCGTTTTAGAGCGCTCGGAGGACGGTTCTTTTTTGGTGGAGACCGCGACCAGTGACGTCAAAATAGGTTTTTAAACGCATTTGTTGCCTGCATAATATAAGTTATCAACTAACCCCACAAGATTTATTGCCGCAGAAAAGTTGTGGCGTTAGGTATACTATTTTCATAGCGATTCCAATTTTATACCTCCTTAAGGTGTTAAATATTTGACCGCAACACAGAAAGAAAGAGACGTTTCTTTTTTATACACAACAATGAGATACGATTATTTTAGAGACCCCGCGCTATTATTTTCTGAGTGTAGGAGTGAAAGTTCTATTCGAAAGTTAATTCTCTCAGATTCGCCTAATGATGATTCTTGATCAACGATTTGAGGAGTTCGAGTTCCATTCGAAGATTAATTCTCTCAGATTCGACTAATGACGATTCTTGATCAACGATCTGAGGAGTTCGAGTTCCATTCGAAAATTGATTCTCTCAGATTCGCCTAAGTAATGATGATTCTTGATCAACGATTTGAGCGACTTGCTTAGCGATCCTGGACTAACTTGCAACAACTTGCCTAGCACAGCGTTCACCCCAACATTCATCAGTCACCGTTGGGTGATTTTTTTTTATCGATGACAAGTTGCTCATCGATCATCATAAGGAAAAAAGTAGCGTTGATTTCCGCACTTAGCTTTTGCCTCGTCCGACTGTATCGATTAGGTTATTGGTAGGCAGTATACCTTTAAATTTCTTAGACTCTGGATGTATTTCAAAGATTGCGAGGCACAAGTTAGACAGTTGAACTGAATTTTGCAATGAGGAACTATTATTTTCGACTCACCCACAAAAGCAACAACTTAAATAGGGAAATTAAGGGCACACTAGTTGTTTCTAATAAGAGTAAAATATAGTAGTTCCTTAATGCAGAATGTAGTCCAGTAGTAAATCAAGGAGAGCGACTTTATTTTTACGGCTAGACGTGTAATGAGCCGCGCCTAAGAACTGAACAGCATTTTACAATAAAGAACTAGTATTACTAAATCATCCTATTTCCTATCTGCACATCCTTACGATGTTTCTAGACTCAGGCAGAAATAGTAGCTCTTCATTACAAAATTCTGTCAAATTTCAGCTGCGCTACTAAAAGAGAAAATAAAAGGAAAGAAAGAAACTTTACCTTCATGATAGTGCCGAAGGGGCCAAGTATCTAAGTAGAGTAGGTGACTACTCACAGTTATTGGCCTAGGCCAATAACTATACCCAGCTACAGGTAGGAGAAAATCGTTAATGTATTTTTTCACCTTACTGTGTAGCGTGCGTTAGGGGAATTCGAAAAAAACAGTTTCGATCTCGGATTTTGGGTCACAGAGGATATTCTGAAAGATGGGGACAAGAATGCACTAACTTAACGATGACAAATGACCAGAAGAGTTGAGCACTTACTGTTAGTTCAACAGTCCTAGCCTAATTTGCGGAAACTCGCTCAGCAAAAGGCGCACCCCGACTTTCTCTAGTCATCATGTGGCAAATTTTTAAGCTCAAAAAATTGCTCATTTATCCTCATCGGACGTAAAGTAGCTTAGAACTCGGAATCTAACGTTTGACTCACTCGATAAATTCACTTAAATTGTTAGTGCGGTACCTCTAAAATATATTGTCTCTTTCCTGGCCCCGCAACCACCTCTCACGTTCAAGTTGTGCGCGCTGGAGAGCTGCAAAAAATTAGCGCGTGGAGAGGGTTAAGCCGGAGGCGCCCCCTCGCCCACTAGTGCGTGCCAATGGCGAATGCCCTAGCCACGTGCGTGGCGCGGTGCAATGGCGATTCCGCGACACTCGACCCCTTTAGCGCGATGCAATTGGGTATTGCACATGCACAAGAGCCCTGTGGGCCGCCGGGGCAGGGTGGGGGTGGGGGTGGCGAGATCCGCCCGATAAATTCGCCCATTTCTCGTCTCGTGTATTCGCGTACATTCGCCGGCTACGATCGGGGGGACTTTTTTGCGGGTGGCGTGTGCCGATCGGATTTTAATCGGAGCGGGGGAAAAAGCGAGGAAAAAAAAGTCGAGCGCTGGCTTCGGGTAGGCGGTGGGCTCGATGGGGTGAAACGGTGAAAAGGACCGGGGATCGCTCGCGTCCGATCGAACCGGTTTCGACGTCTTTGCACCTGTTCACCTCGCTGCGAGCGCCCGAGCCCGAGTTGGGGGTGCGTCCGTTGGTGCCACCGCTTCCACGCGCTAGGTGACACTTTTTTCGACTCGTCGGAGAAGTCTCTGGAGACGATGTGTTTTATAGACCCCGCACTGCTTTCTTCCCTAAGATGTAAAAGTTACGTCCGAAAGTAACGCTCAGATTCTCCTGATGAATGGTGTTTAGAACGAACTCTAGATCGTGGTCATTCCGTGATTTTTTTCCTGATTTTCAGCTCATTCCCTAATGAGAAATCGAAGTTTTCTCCTACTTCCCCAGGATTTTCTTGAGGAAAAGATTTTTCATCTTTACGCCAATTTTTGGCGCACATTCGAATTTTTACCTCTAAATACAGTCCTGTAATATTTATAGTATCTGGGCAATGGAAGCTTCTATATTAGTGTGATGATTAAAAGACTGAAATGAGTTATTCAAGAGGTCAACAATAGCTTAGCAGCTCAGGTGCAATACCATAACCCTAAATGACAACACGTCCGTAAAATTTTCACAAACTTTGAAAACGAAATGGTCTCAAGGCGGTAGAACAAGAGATTCCCGGTTTCTGGAACAGATTCCCTGATTTTCCTCGATTTTCCTTAACATGTGTAATGCCCGGATACACGTCGGGTTTTCCGGTCTTAAACACCAGGTTTAAAAAACGCCAGTTCCTTAAAAATATAACAGGGGCTGTTCGAAAATAACAACAACTGCTGCTTGCAATTTGAAAATCAAGTGATTTTTTACCGCTCAGAGCTGTGGTGATCGCAGCCACACCTTTGTCAAGAAGATATTTTGATTAGTCTTCCCTTAAAAACAATAAGAAAAAAAAAAGGGATCATAATCAAAGATTAAGAAACGTTGCGATGCAGATATGCATTAATTCTCGCTCTGAATTTAAAATCGAAAAAGAAATCAGTGATGCAGCAGAATAAGTTCGATTCCTGGAAATTTGTTCACTTTCGGTGCTGATTAACTTCAATTAATGGCCCCGATCCGATTCAAATCTGTCGCCGAGGCGTGGAGCTGCCACGGAAGACACGAGCTGGGTTAGGTTGGGTCACGCAA